CTCTATAACTATTATTTCTTTATGAAACAACACTACAATTGTAACGCCAGAATTCCTTTGAAGCTGATGAACAGAGTTTAGTTTAACAAAATTGACATAGCACATATTTGCTTATTGATTAATGCTGACTCTCTGATGCCCACGATTTTGAAAACTCTGCCCTTTGAATATCTCCACCATCTAAAGTATTTGCTTTAACACTAGTAAGTTTACAGAAATTTAATAAATTGTAAAACATGAACAAATTTATTAATTACCAGCTAATTTCCTTTGACAGTCGGTCAAGGAGCGCAACTTTAATCTGTTCTTTTTAAAGTCAAGTTAGGCTGTACCTTGAAATATTATGTACATATCCATCAGTTTTTTATTACAGATTTTGGGAAACTACTCCCCAATTGAAAATTACCATGAATCAGTCTTTTGTATGTTCAGACTTAAAATGAAATTATTAATATTTTAATTAACCAGTTGATTTACCATTGGTCAGTTAGTTAATTGTATAAGTTCAATGGATTACACATTTGGACTTGTTGACAGCCCTAAGACATTAGTTTTAACAAGTTGTATAATGAAGCTTCATATCATACATCTAACAAGATGTGATCATATGCCTTGCCATAGTAAAATGGTTAGAACTCATCCTTTATAATTTAATAAACTTAAATTATCACCCCTGTGTAACATTGTGGCAATTGCTCAGTTATATGCTAAGATGATATTTTGGTGATTTCTTGACATAAGTAGTATGTATTGGGTTACAATAAAGAATAATAATATTTAATGGTGACATGAAATGTCAGTTAAAATTTTGCAATTTGTCAGGTTATAGTTCCCCCTCCTGTTTAATGCTTCTTTTATACTTACTCAGTGTGATCTTTTTTAATGTTAAAAAAATGCTAAATGGACTGCCATATTTTAAATTAATTAATAATCTGTTTTGAATATATTATGGTGCTTGTTAAATGTTTCATCTTATTGCAGACCTTAATTTAGGAATGCATAAATTGCCAACTTATGAAGTGTTCTTTGATAACTAATAACTTGAATCAGCATTATAAAACATTAAAACTAAAGTGTGATATTGTTGCTTGACATTTAGGGAATAACATGAAGATTGCTTTCCATTTTTATTTCCCATACTACCACTTTATTGTGTGGCTTTAAGTGTTTACTGGAGATTCTGTCAGTGCTTAAGGTGGCTTGTGTGTGCAACCAAACAAAGACAAGATTGTATGGAACTCTACAATTTTTATAAGTGGATGAATAAATCACTGTCCACTGTAAATTTAATTCCTTGCCTTGTTTATTGTTGGCAAGTAATTCCAAGTATTTATTGATCTCTTTAAAGTAGCAACTCTGCGGTGCAGTTTGAACTGGTTTGTTATAATTCAGAAGTACTGTGGTATGTAAGTTGATCCAAAGTGTATATTCAGAATCTAGTCCACTGTGTGGGGGAGAAAATTTATGTTAGTTTCAGTCATGTAAAATAAATATTACATTTGTTAAAATCTTTCAAAACGTTTGATTATTTTAAACTTCTTAAGATTTCTGTGTGAAAAAAGACTTAATTGTTCGTAAACTTTTTTATTTTCTGTAACAGAGTATGAAATATGTTGAAAAATATTAAGACACATTTTGGGAATGTAAATTATGTCTGAATGTACAAAAAAATGCTTATGAGTATTTGCAGAAACTTGAACATCAGACTTCAGAAACTCTGCTTTAAATTCCAATTTCTGTAAAGGTAAATGGTAACATTGTCATGAAGAAATAAGGGAGCACTGAGGTAAAGTACACATTTTAGATTTCAGCATTGTCATCTTCATGCTAGGATAATGCATATTTGTGTGCATTTGGCAAGAACCCAGGAAATGACAGGTTTGTGACAACATAAGCAATATATAGTGGAAAAACAATATCACATGAGTAGTTTCTAGTGGAGGATTAGACAAACTATAAAATCTTCCAAGAAAGTTAACAAAGCTGATGCAGAACACAAGAATATGTTAAAAGAGTTCACATTGACAAGGAGCTTATCATTTTTGGAATTTTAATCTATGCATTTCATTTGTATTACAGCAATATTCATTGAATGACATTTAGTTGTGTTTTGAACATATTTTCCATAAGCTGTGCGTGTGTGATAGTTTGTCTGCATGTGGAATTTCATCCAATACAATAACATTGTAACATGAATAACATAAATATTTTTATAATATTTGCCTTGTGTACAGGAATTTGAAAATATATTAACAGAAGATAAATTAAACTTTTTTCAAACTCCTTTTCAGTATGTTCCATTCCTATTGACACTCTTTTCGTATGTTCTCATTGATGTTTTGTACAGTGCCCCAACAGAAACCCATTTAACTGATGTCAAGAAACAGCTTACTGCTACAGTTATCAGTATTAACTATTTAAGTTAATAAAATAACATTGTAATGTAGTACCTGTTGAAAATAATGCAGATAGTTTAACAGATTCTGATGTGCTATAAGTTGAGTCATGCACTGAGGGAAGATATTGTATTGTTATATCTTACTGTCTCAGTCGTCCCGCGTGGTCTGAGGCATCATGCTTCAGACCGGTGATACAGAATGTGCGCTGGTTTGAGTCTTGGGGAAAGAAATTTCTCATCAGATTTTCGACCGGTGTATGGGACCAGTGCCAACCCAGCATCATGAGGAAATTGGGGAGCTACAATGGGTAGCGTAATCCGGTCATGGAAACTAGCAATGGCTGGGGGTTTGTCATGCTGACCACACATCACCCTATATCTGGTTGGATGATCGTTCACCTCTGCTTAGGCATGTGAACATGAGGCCAGCAGCCAGCTAGTCGGCTTTGGCTCTCAGAGGGCTGTTACACCACGGATTATTATTATTATTACTCTCTTAGTATGCAAAAATTATATTTTAGTATATGCCTTTGTAGGAGGACAGCTCTTTTTGCATATAAAAGGTTTTATTGTCATATAGCACCATTACTGAGGGAACTTTGGTTAGTCATGTGTAACACACACAATCATAAAAATATCCTATTTGTGTGGGTAGGCTTATATATTTGTAAGCCAAGATAAGAGGTAAGGTCATTGCCAGTAGGAATCCTGTCTATGGAGCCTGATTGTAATTTGACAGGGAAACTCCATGACTGCAGAGTTATGATATGCACAATATCGTGGTTTACTAGAAAACTGATGATCACGTCTCTTTCCGGAACCTTCAACCAGAATGATATTCAAGTACAGAAATGCATGTACTTCAGCCAGGGACTTTTCTTGACTAGCTGAGGAATCTTCTCCATGGAGTTTGTTGTATATGATTACAAAAAAGCCCTTCTCATTGAACATGTTATGATTTTTAACGCATGTACAGGGAACTTACCTGAATCTTTAGCATTTTATGTAGGTTTATTTAGTAAAGTCATGTTTTAATATGCTAGAGGTTACAGGTTCAACATATTAGCAGTGCTGAGATGATCATTTATTTTGCTCAGTTCCAGGCTTCAGTGTGTAATTGCTCAATGCAGGAGGGCCGCACCCTAGTAGCTGAATCACGTAGTGAGATCAAGCGGCGTTATGAAGATACATCCCTTGCAATTTTCAAGGTACTTGTTTGTAGATTAGCAGTTTATATATTATAGCAGTGTGAAATTAAGGAAAGACAGTGTTAAATAATTTATTAGTATGAGACCAAAATAGGGTTTCAGTTTGCAATGATTTAAAACAAATTCACTATATTTATGCATGCATGTTTTAAAGCTTTTTATTTTAATGCAGACTTCATTATTATTTGTAGAAAATTTGTTTAGACTATTTCTTATCATCTTAAATTAACTCCTTTACTTGTACGGAAGAAGAACATTTTAAAATAATGAGTTAATTACTGTTTTTGGGTTTTTAATTGTTTTTAAAAGATTTAATATTTGAAATATTTTTGTAATAATTATTTTAGATACTGAAATTCATCTGCCTTAAGAGAGTGAGAGGTCTCATAAAAAAACCTGCCTTGAATTTTTTACCAAAATTTCAATGCCAGCAACTCAGATGTATAGACAAACAAATACTTTTATTTCCAAAAATAATGTAGATATTTCACTGAATGAAAGTTGAATGCATTATTGACAAGAATCAATACCTTCATTAGATCTGGTTGGCACCTTGTGTCTGTCTGTTTGGCTGTGGGTGTCTAAATAGTTTGTGGATACAGGAATGTTTGTAGTATTTATTTTACAAAGTTGTTAAAATCTCTTTGGATATATGTGTTAAAAACTCTGACTGGTTCATGTTTGGACTATTAGAAATCTTGTAAAGCATTCATTTTTGAACCACTTTATGTTTCAGGCTTAAAGCAAACTTGAAATAAATATCTTTGTAACCACGAAACGTGTCATATACAAGAAGAATATTTACTTTTATAACATGATTCATAATGATCATCATAAGTGATACAGAACCACCTGGTGAGAACTTGAGAGTTTATTTCCATTCTACTCCCAATATTTTGCAATGTTGTTCCTCCCTGGACTACACACCTCAGTTTGAAACATGGCTCTCTCAGTCACTACTTTCCTGTTTGCATCTAATTCCCAGCTTTCTCAAGTCCTCCACATCTATCACTTTAATGATTTGAAATGAAGTTTTTCAAAATAATATTTCAAAATTCATTTCTCACCATAAAAGAACAGTGCATCTCCATTATGAAGATCATTTGGTAAATGCTGTTAATCATTGTTTATTCTGAGAATCATACGAAACACATAAATACACTTTGTATACAATAGAGTCTTCTCCGTAGACGGCACAAATGTTTCGGGCAGCCTCTGCAGCTTTGGAGACTCAATTGAACTCGCAGAGAAGGTGTCGGAAATGTTCGTTTTTGTCAACTTGGCACTCCATAGTTCTTAACCTGAAAATTTTAGACATTAATTTGAATCGAAAAATTTCAAACATATTAATAGAGATGACGATGAGAGATATCAAATTGTATATAACATTGCCGCCTTAGTCAAATCTTATCAGGTCAAAACTTTGATTGATTGAAAATGGCACAAACTTATGCACCAACCCAAAAGAATAAAAATGAACTCTGAAGGAACTCTTAGTTGGTTTGTATGGTGAAAGAAATATTTGTATATACTAACCATATTCTCTAACACAACCAATATTTTATGACCAATGAGAAAGAAATAGAGTTATTTTACCAATTTTTTGTCACCGTTAAATGTTTTATTGGTTCAGAATACAATAACCTGAATCCTAACGCTTTCTTTTTGTGTTCAGATCTAACTTATCTTAAGAGTAAAGTAAATAACAGAGTAGTGTATCATAAACGTATCCACAGTTTATGGGCTCAGATTAAAAGTTAGTGTCAAAGTAACAATCTTTTTCTTTGTTTTTTAATACAATTTAATTTTAGTTTTTGGGAAATGCTGTTTTGGTAATCAAATAGAAAAATAATAATAGGCTGGGCTTAGCATTAATTTCACAAACAGTAAATGAGTATAACTTTTGTTAGGAAAACCTTATGGACAGTCTTTTTGGGATATTAAGGCAGGCTAACATTAAACATTTCAGAAGCCTTTGTATGTTAACATATTTTGATGGTAATGTATAATTTCTGTTTTGAGAAGCCATAGATACTTAGAATAAACTGTTTAAGGATGACACAAAGGGCTTTTTACAGTGATCTTCTCGAACACCAAATAAATTCTGATATCCAGTTAATAGAACAGAAACTTAAAATTGAATGTAGGGAAGTGGGATTAGTGAGGTAATCTGGAAACGAAGGATGCAGTGGTTATCTTTGTGGTGATTACTTTTACAATACCAGGACTGAATTATGTTAGACACTGTCCATTGTTTGAGGTGTGTTTAATATATAGAACAGGTCAGAAGTAAACTCTGCTCTCATAGGTTGTTCTTTTACTGACATTTCATTTTGAATTTTTTATATTAGTGGCAGTGGTCGAGATGAGACCCAGAACTCTTTGAGTGTTAAACATAGACTGTTCAGTTGTGGATGCCATTCACCTAGGAGAATTTTACAAATCTGTGATACACTTCATGTATTGGTAGTGTAAATATCAACTAACATCATTAACTGATTGTTAGGAACAGCAGCAAAATAAACACGCTTCAAACTTCCTGACATTTGGGACCAGTCGTCGAACTTATGAATACAGTAACAATGGCAACAGTTCAGTCATAGTTCGCAAGCCAGACGAGTTGCTGTCTGACCAGAAGTTCATCGAGTCCCAAGTATGTGTGTTATTGTGATACGTCTCAGGTGGTGGAATAATGTACATTTTTTAGATACAGATATTTGTACTCCAGTTGCAAGCAGTGTTAATGGTGGTGGTGGTGATGGTAGTGGTGATAGTAACGGAAAGATACATTGTATCAGAATGGTGTGTGAATGGGTAGTGTGGGAGTCATTTGTTTAATTGACACATGTGGACAGAACACACATGAATAATTTAATGACATTAAGAACTTTCCTGTTACTTGGTAAACACTTTACCAAGCTCACTACATTTTTTAAGACAATATAAGGTGCTTTGTGGATTGACATATTATTTTTATTTTGTTAATATGTTTAAAGATTTCTGTCTTCTAGGTTGTTGCGCTGTGTAGTCTGGTCAATGTTAACCAACGTTTCAGAGGTCATACTGCCTCCGTCGCCCTGATGATGGAGGCAGTATGACCTCCGAAACGTTGGTTAACATAGACCAGACTACACAGTGCAACAACCCAGAACACAGAAATCTTCATACTCACCACTGTGAAAACCTCAAATCTTACTTAATATGTTTAATTTGGAGTACTGGTACACCAGTTGGATTTAAAAGCTTGGAAGCAGAGGAACAGGATTGGTTGTTAATTCCAGTATCGAGACATACTAAGATAAGTGGAGACAATAAAATATTTTTTGAAGTTTGTTGAATCTAAGTGTTGTGTTTTGGAGGGAAACAAATGATTAAACCAAACAGAGGCATTGAAACAGATTCTGGTGTTCCACAAATAGATATCTGTAATGGCAGGTTTTAATATTAACACTATCTTAAATACAAACTTATATTAAAATTAAATCAGAATGTTGGTTCTGTCCATAAGTTAATCGTTATGCCGAGGTCCCAGTCAAAACACATGAAAAGTAAAAATTTTGAAAGCTTCCCAATTGTATTATGTGTATGTGTGCTAAAACAAGAGGGTAAGATTCTGAAGTGTTTGTTTGCTTTGCGTAGTACTTAAGTGATAAATGAAGGAAGTGTATGACATAAATGGGATTATTGAATCCATATCTGTAGTATATTTTACAGTATATAGAGAATTAGCATTTTAATGAAAAATCAGAACTATTCTGTCAGTAATACTTTTTACAGAAGAAAAATTAGATTTGTCTTTTTAGGTATTAAACAACTATCACCTTGTCTTATATGTCCTTAGTTTTTACAGTTCCATCAGTAGTTTCTTGACCAAAAACATTTCTTCATAGGAAATGCAGCATTAAATTTCCTTTTTAATGGATGGATAATTACAAGTAGTGTCACAATTTAAAATCATAAATCTGAGTCTCTGTCAGTGCATCTTATTAGAGTAATTGTACAAATTGTTTTTTGTGTTTATATTTTTTAACTCAGAAGGCTGTGATTTGCCAGTTGGATGTTAAATTGTACCTGATAAGTCTGGAGTATGTTGATGGCAAAGACTTGTTCACTGCTTGTTGGTTTTATATTGTTGAAGTATGCATATGAACTTTGCCTTGATAAGAAAGGTCTGCTGAGTCATCATACATTTCATCTGTAATCATACAAACTCAGTCACATTATAATTGGGCATTAAACTTTCATATTTTTGATGTTT